AACTTGAAGCAATCTATTGTGGAGCTTATTCAAACCTGAAGCGAGGTGTGGTCTACCAAACAAGACTTTTCAGATAAACATTATATGGCCTAGACAGCAGTGCTGTTCATCATTTTACACCCTCAGAAATAAGAAAACTGAGTGCATAAAGTTTTATCGAGGGCACGGGCGGTGCTTACATTTAAATAATTAGCTAACTACAGCCTCACGTGTACCAACCACATTGTCACAGTGAGTTGAAAGGGGGAGAGTGCCCTCAGGCTTGGTGCAGGATCAGCACTTTCAGCAACAGCAGGTTGAGACCTCGGCACGCAGCAGCACGATGGACAACAGTCATGGCACAAAGGACCAGATTTAATAAACTGTTTCTGCCTCAATTCAGACGCGCCCAGAAACGTGTGTGTGTATTATTTATCAGACAGGTTCACTGGCATGGAAGTGCCGTTTCCCTGTCATCTGAGGTGCATCTTGTGTGAAACGAAGTGAAGTGTGTCTCTATCCATTAAAGGGAGGATCACGCAAATGCTGTTTTAGTGTATTTACTAGTTGATGTGATTTGAGAGAGTGGGTGCGAAACAGTCTGAGGGAAAAAGTAGGCAGACGTAATATAAAAACAAAACACAATGTGTGACTAAACATGGAGGACAAAGAGTTGTGTCATTAAATTTAAGCTTGAATATGACCTTGGCATCCACTGAGCTGCTGCATCACTATGCTGACGGCAAAGAGTGTTTTGCTGCAGTTATCTTGGGAGTCTAGGGAAGACATCACCCGTATCACTTCCATCTACATCCTCCACCCTGCTCTGGTTTGAGCATCTGCTTGGCCAGTTGCTCTGTCTGTGTCAGCCTCCCCTACAATGGTGGGGAAAATTTTATCACTAGTATTTCCTCAGAGGCCAAATCTGTGCACCTATATAACCACGTCACTGTTAGTTGGAGCCTTCTTCATGACCTGGACATTATCCATTCTGTTCTTCTGACATATCCTCTCTGTGTGCTGGTGATGTGTGTTATTTTACTAAGACATACCAAACAAACAGGCCAGGAGAATGAAATGCTTCACACTGGATGTTGTCTGGGCTAAAAGAATGCCTGCTGTTTGTCTTTGTGTTGGGCAGAAGTAATTTAGCCTCTGGCAGGACATGCGTCATCAGGGGAAAAACTAAAAAGATGGATATCTTAGAGTGTGTGTGCAAAGTGTATGCAAGATTGCAAAAGAAAAGAAAAAATTAGAAAAGAGAGAGAAGCTCAAAGTCTCACACTGACAACAGAATCTGCTCTAGCATTTACCCTCTGATATTGTGAAAAGGAGCTTGACAACCTGTCATCTCCTACCCGACACGTATAATAACCCTGACAGCTGCGTCCGGGAAGTTGTGCAGTCTAGGATACTGTCAGTTTGTTGTGGTTGTTTTGGAGCAGAGCACAGAATCCACAGTAATTGAGACACCAGATTTGATGAAAACACAAAGCCAAAGTAAAATCTGTGGATATAGTCAATCATTTGATTCCATACTGAACCAACCAGCCACATTATGTAGCTTTCATGCTGTTGATTGATGAGTAAGGAGGGGCAACATGAGTTTTCCAAAACCGTTTTAAGGCTGTGACTGAAATTAAGTCGTCCCCTATGACGCTCACAACAGTATTCAATAGACCTGTTGGTATAAAAAGATTTTTTTGTCTTCAGATTAACTACCAAAGCAGAGCTGTCAGAAAGCTTGTCAGACTTTTTTTAGATTTGAATGTTTGTTTGTTTGGGTCATTTCCTAATATAGCATGTTTTGTAGTCCATGCCTTGAGCTCCCTCTCTGCCTTTCCCTTCTGTCTGACTTGTCAGTCACAGGATGCAATTCATGGTGCCAAAGTTTCACCTTGTTTCCAGCTATTTTCTTTTGCCACAACTTCCTCAGCCAACTTGCACAGAAATACACACATACAGTACATACACTCGGGTGGGTTGCAACGGTACAATTATTAGAACCAAAACATTATTACAGCAGACAGCAGTGCACTGACATGGACCTCTCTGTAGCTTGTTGTTGCTCTGAGTTACCAGGACCACAAACCGAGTAAGATCTGTAACCTCAAATGAACCTGACTTTTATTGATTTCCCACTAAAACACACTAACACTGGTGATCATTATCCAAAGTTCAGCACCCAGTCTCCACATTTTAATTTTCCTTGTCCCTCTCTTGCTGTAAAAACTAGAATATCGTGACTTTTCCTGCCCGCAGGTCAGAGTCACAGCTGCTCATATAAAGAGCTTCTGACATTTTGTCTTGCCCCCAAACCACATGCAGACAGACACTTTCTACTCTTTTGTCTGTGGTTCTTTGCGTCTCTTACCAGTTCATCACAGGACTGATTGTGGCTCATTGTTTCTCTTCAGCATGAATGACTTTTGCTGAAAGCTTCTGAGTCTGCTCATTTCACCAGTACACAATCATCCCCTTCTAATTAATGGCAGGACTTTTAAGAGAAACGGATGATGGGCTAATGATTGATGAGGCTGATCAAATCAGTGACTGCAGAACAATTTACTCTTGTCAAGAAGTACTGAACATGTCTCTGTTTTGTTTTTCACATTATCTGCGAATAATGAAATTTAGATCATAGTTGATTGTGTTATATCATCCCATTATTCTGCTCTGGAGTTTTCAAAGCTATTTATTTAGCACACATCTTTCCCTGATATTCATTTACTGCAGTGTTTTAGACAACCTGCACATGAGCTGGAAGACACTGCTTGGTCAATGTGGTATTGACATGTATGTTGCCTCTGTGATCGGTATAAGTGACTAATTGTCTAATATATCCGAAGTGTTCCTTTGTTTGCTCCATGATCCTCTGTTGCACCATCTTGTCCGCCATACTGAACAAAAAGAGTAAACACAATTGATTCTGATGGCATTATACAGTCAGGGCGCACTGAATATTCTTGTGTTAGATGCTCAGTGTCTTAGTCTTAAACACATGGGTGGATCTAGATGAAGAAAATTTTACAACCTGGACACTGTCTGTGAAATCAGATGATATTGCTGTAGTTTCGTAGTTTTAGAGTCAAAATTTCCATTGTCAGTTCAATACTTTCTTGACTGTTTTGGGCAAAGGGGAAATATTACAAATACTGAAGCTGCCTCCAACATTTTTTAAAAACGCTACTTTTGTTCACTTAAGCCACATACTTTGTGATACTGTGATCAAACAATTAAGAACCCTTTTTTTTAACGGCAGCAGGTGTTAAAGGGAGGGAATAGAACAAATTCACTCGCAACTGTTTTATGCAGTGCTCAAAATGAGACCACAGGTACCCGTGAGAGGATGAGATAGCAAGCGCGTTTGTGTGCTCCCTTGCCTCAGGCTTGTTAAATTGGCAGATCGATGACGCTTTAAATCAATGTTCCAGCAATACTGCAAACCCCATGGAACCCATTAGTGGATTAAGATAGACCACTGTTCCACACTGAGTCCTGTTCTGCCTGCAGGTCCTTTCCACATGACAAATGGGAGGAAAAACTGTGAAATGAAACAAAGGGAAAAGGGCAAACAAGAGGGTGAGAACAAAAGCTGTGGCAGGGGAAAGGTTGACAGCAAAGGCTGGGGTCAAAGCTGCCAGTAAGGACACACCTGAAGCTCTTCTTCATTCAGAGGGCCAGGGAGGGAATAGCTTTCTTTCTCACTATATACAGACAAAGGATCTTCTCTTGAATCAACCAGCACTTTAGGAGCTTTATATGGTTCCTTCCGAGGCACAGGAGATCATCCAGCCGGCCATGAATAACATGCTCTACATGCAAAGCAGCTTGTCTCAGCCAGGAAACTGAAAAGGGAACGGGGAGTAGGAAGGGATGTGAGGGATGTAGCAGAGCACAGGAGAAAGGGGGTGTTGAGAGAGGATGCCAGGGGAGCTGGTCTTCCTCTGCTAGCATTGTTTATGTGCCACTGTCTGTGGATCATTGATCCATTCGTCTTCATTATGTCTCCCTGTGAGAACTATTAACTGCTGCCACCCTCAGTTGGGTGCCTGCTATGTTGACACGCACTACACGGTCTCTCTATCAGCGTACCAATGTCCCTGCCACCTCTCGTCTCGGAGGTAAAAGCTGACAGTTTTATACCGCTTGTGAAAAAAAAAAAAAAAAAAAGATTTAACAGGAGGGATGTATATTGCCATTTACTGGATTTGTACAGGTATTAATTGTCTTCACAAGACAGCATGTAATATGTCACTGCCATCTTAACAGTACAGGTGGGGCTGATTCTTGTATATTTGTGTTATCCTGCAAGCTTCCTCTCTGACCCATATAATATATGTTGCATAAGAATGAGTCAAACATCCGCCCACTCATGCTCATGAGAAGCATGGCTACGTCTTTGTAACAGAATTCAACATAGTATAAGAACTGTAAGCATAGCCAGGAAATAAATCCCCATTGGTTTATTAAAATCTGTCGACCTTTTAGGGATCCTCTGCTGAGTCCCTGCTTAATGCATTCACACCTTCAAATGTCAACCAAGAGAGATCCTGCTACAATTCCTCTCCTCTCAACTGTCACCATTGTCTATGCGAAGCATGTTGTTGTCAAACTGCCTGAGCCCAGTGAGACATCATGGGTCATCAGCAGCAGCTTGAACGGCACCCCATGATTCCAGTCGACTGCCAAGATCGCTTTCACCTCGCTGTGTCAATTCGTAGCTTCTCTTCCCTTGTGAAATTTGACACGTTTGACTTGTACTTGTTGTACAGGGTTATTTCTGAGTAAATATGAGACAAGCTGACTGCTAATCTGCCTGATCTTTCTCTGTCCTCCCTCTGTCTGTCTCTTCCTCTTCTTCTTTCTGTATCTTTTTTTAAATTTTTTTTATAGAATCAACCACAGATCTGGCCAACATCCTCACTGCTGTCTCATTTGACCCAGGGGAAAAGGAGAGACAGAGCATGGTCTGGTGTGGCGGCCACTGTTGCTATGTGTGAAGGAGTGCTGTGGCGTCAATGGAGACCGAAGGCTATCGTGATCTCCTGGAGACCAGCGATGGTCAGGGGGTAGGCCTGCTGGATGGAGGGGGTGAGGTTGGGGTGGAGGAGGGCTGGAGCACGCCCTACCCTCTGGGCTTCCAGGTGTCTTTGACCACTGTGCTGATGCTGGAGCTAGTGTTGGGCTTCAGCAGCAACCTGACCGTACTTGTGCTCTACTGTGCTCAGTCCAACCTGGTGGATTCAGTCAGCAACCTAGTCACGGTCAATCTCCATGTGCTGGACATACTGGTCTGTGTGCTGTGTCTGCCACTAACTGTGGCTGTGATCCTGCTACCAGCTAATGGAAGTGGAGTCGGCAGCCTGGCCACTCTGTGCTGCTTTCATGAGGCCTGTGTCACGTTCACTAGTGTCGCCACAGCGGTCAATGTACTCGTGATCAGTTTGGACCGATATGACATCTCAGTGCGTCCAGCCAGTCGCCTGCTGACCCCCAGGCGTGCTGCTCTGCTCCTGGCAGCAGTGTGGGCTGTGTCTCTGGCTGTTTTCTTCCTGCCCTTCCTAGAGGGGGACTTCTTCTCTTCGAGGGCTGAGGACGGTGACGATGAGGAGCCGGAAAGGCAGAACAATGTCTCTGAGTTCACCACTGGACAGACGCCCATTTTTTCCTCCATTTCTCCTTCTTCGTTACCCTCCACTCACCCCTCCTCCTCTTCACATCACCTGCCTCCAGTATGGCAGAACAGGACACTGCTGTGTGTCGGAGGGCAGGGTTATTACACAGGCCTCGCTATGTATTACCACTTGTTACTCCAAGTGCCATGCTTCTTCATCGCTGTGGCCGTCATGTTGTTCACCTACTCCAGGATCCTACAGGCCCTCAACATCCGCATTGGCTCTCACATGATGAGGGGTACACGTACAAAGGACTCCACCTGCAGGATACGCTGCAGGAGGCAGAGGAAGAAGGACCTGAGTCTGCCCACAGAGGTGGTGTCCTCCAACCAGAACCAGAACCTCAGCCATCCTCCCCTCATCCCATCTCCCACCCCTACACCCACATCACCCCCACCGCTCTCCTCTATTCCCCAAGGGATGTCTGACAGTGGAGCAACAGTCACTACTGTCAGTACTGCTGCTACCACCCCCATCGCGACTACACCAGCCACCCCTGCTTCTCCAACCCCAGCTTCAGCTTCAGCCTCAACGCAGACCCACGCCACCTCACCACTGCCTGCCTCCTCCATGGGTGTCCAGGCCTCGGTTTCTGCCATCATCGCCTTGAGACGTGCAGTGCGCAGACACAGAGACCGCCGAGAACGTCAACGCCGCGTCCTAAAAATGTCCCTAATCATCATATCCACCTTCCTGGGCTGCTGGGCCCCTCTGTCTGCAGTCAATGTTCTGATCCTGTGTCTGGGTCCCAGCGACAGTCTGGTGCGGCTCCGACTGTGCTTCATAGCGATGGCTTATGGAACCACTATCTTTCATCCTCTGCTCTATGCTTTCACCAGACAGAAGCTACGCCGTGCCCTCAAAACACGTGTCAAGAAAAGGGTAGTGTCCCTTCTTCAGGTGGACCCAGCTCTCAGCGGGGGCACAGTTATTCATAACTCCTGGGTGGAGGGGGGAGGCCAGAGGAAGAGTCGCAAGCCACGGGTGGAGGCCAGTGATGGCACTGATCGATGTCTCACAGAGGCAGTGAGGGAATGATGCTGGTCTTCGGCGTGCACATGTGTGTTTGCATGTGTGAGAGTGTGTGTGTATGTGTGTGTGTGTGTGAATTTGAAGAATTGTATGTATCGTACTAATTTGCGGGAGATGGATCCTGTGTATATTCATGCATGGGTGTGAGAGAAATAAGAGAGCCAGTTTGTTTACAAAGGTCAGGAGAAAATCCCATGACCTCTGGTTCCATGCAGATGTGGAAACAGGTGAGTCCTGAGCTCTAATTAGAGGCAGCTTTCTGCTCTTCTTACACTCACCTTCATTAGTCCACATCCTGACCGACAAGGTGGCCACTGTTTCACCATGGCAACAAAGGCCAAGCATTATAACACCATAACCATTGCTACTGAAAATACTAGTGTGCACCCCACGTGTAGGGTAAGGGGTAGATTACAGCAAATGCATACATTATTGCTCCTACTTGCACTTTCAACTTGCATGTGCATGTGTATATGCACAGATAGAGACACACACACACACACACACACACAGACACACACACACACACACACACACACACACACACACACACACACACGCAATTAATGCACACTGATCTATTTTTAGTCATTATCTGTGAAAGCACACCAATAACTACCTGCACAGATATTCTCAGTGAGAAAAATGTAAATGTAAGTCTATATTTCTCTTTCTTTCCCTTTTTTTCATACCTTAATTGAGTTATTAATATATTCTCATGGTGCTGAATGTCCGGCTGTATGTTTACAACAATGTGTCAGAGCGAAAGAGTTTGCACATACTTTATATGGTATAGCAAATTAATGGCAGGTAAATGCAAGCAAATCAGATTCAAAGTTTACAGGCTCACATGAAACTACTGGGAAACTGCAAAAAAACTGATTCAGATTTCATTTCCAATAAGCACCATATTTTAGAGGAATGTGTGCAAGTTAAAGCTAAAAGGCATGACCTTTTTCTTTAAAAATAAACTTCAATGGTCACGATGACGTAGGCAAGGATATTTGTGTGATTGTGTTTGTATGTTTACATTTGTGCATGCATGTGTGTTGTGCGTGTGTAACAAGTGTGTGTAAATGAATAAACGAGCGTGTGCGTCCATGATTATGTGCAATAAATCGCGAGAAAAGCAATGACCCCTAGGATGTGAACAAAGAGAATGTGAACACAGAATTGTTGGTTTTCTATTTACGCTTTAGATAACAGGGGGAAGGGAGAAGAAAGAGGACTTTATCTTCTGAGTGACAGCAGAAGGCCACTGGGGACAATATAAAAACAAACTATATGGAGCAATTGTAACTATGTGTATATGACAGGCCACTGTAATATTACTGAAATTGTATCAAAGTTTTAAAGTGGGAATCAAAGGGCAATATTTTGTGAAAACTTCATTAAAACTGTCACTGTAGTCACTGCAGGTTAACTAGCATCTTAAACCAGAGAAATCCAAACATGGAAAAACAACCACTGACATGGTAGGACGTCTCCTCATGTCAGCTGTTTGTTGCTCTGGAGGGCAGAGTCACTGCTTCTGGACTGCACTTTGAATGACTGCAGAAACAGACGCATCTCCGTCAGCTTCTGGACTGAGTCCTGGACACGTTACACTATATCTGTATCTCTCTTTCTCCTCAGGGCTTCATGTCTCTTATCCAGACATGCTGGACATAAAACAATAAACCAGTCCTCAATCAGCTCTTGTATTATGGGTGTTACAGTAGGTAAACATTAATGTCAGTTAGTAGATAGAATACACTTTAAACTTTATATGGGCTCAAGTCTTGGAGAGCTCCTTGGGCTTTGGGCTATCTCCTCTTTCATCCTCACCTCTTTTACACTATTTGTGAGCCAGACAGAAGACAGTAATTCTTGTGTATTCATGTACATTTTTCAGGGATGTAAATATTTAAGTGTCTGTTTTGGGTTTTAGTAAAACTTGATCACAATCATCTGCCGGACAGAAAATCAGCCATTGTGATAAACTCTGAGTGAGTTGGAGTGAGTTACTGTAAAGAGAAATCCATGTAAGCGTATTTGTGTTAATACTGTATGTGTGTACACTGTACTGTACATTTATGACCATGTGTATAGAAATATTAGTATTGTATAAGATTTATATTATGTGTTATTGTATAGAACAGAACCGAATCTGTATTAAAAAGGTGATCTATCTAAGAATTGATCTATCTCTGTTTCAATGTGTTAATTCACACATGTTTCATGTTCATGTTTTTACTCACAAGGAAATTTAATTCCAGAGGAAAAGCAATTGTACAGTGTTTATATTTCATACAGATGCATTTTATCTGTTATAATATTTAAAATAAGAAAAGTGAGTGTCTCCTTTTTCTGTTTTACACATTTAACACAATGGAAATGAAAAAGGAAAGGAAATATGATATAAATCATGAAGAAATGGCACCTTGTTTTCTAATTTAATAACCTGGAAGACCTTCATAACATGTTTTAATTATAGACTTAATAATTCAAATCATTTACAGTATAATTGTGCAGACCAACTTTCAACCAAACAACCTTTTTGAATACAGTGATGTCTCTGAAATCATTAGAGAAGGATATGATCTGTAAATGAAAGAATATGCCAATTTTGTCACTCTTTTATTATCAGTAGGAGGCTTTTTAAAAATAAAGTTTCATCACAAGCCTTCCATCACAATTGCCACTATATATTTTCCAAAGGGAACTGCTTGGATTCATCCTCGTGACTTGGGATGTCCTTCATCTCTCATCCTCTGCAACATACTGTCCGAATCTGTCTTTTTTTGCAGCTGTCCCTCGCTTTCTACATTTCCTGTTTCCACTCCCCATTTCTCTGATCCCTAAATTTAGAAACTCTGTCCCAGATAGTTGCAGTATTTAGTGCTGACTGTAGTGAACCCTCAGTATGCTTGTGTGCCTGTGATGTGGCAACTGTGCTCATCACCAGTACTAATGAAGATGAAACTTGTTAGTCAGGTAAGCATCTGTCGGGGAATCTCAGCCTCTTGATGTTGACACTTCAATTTTTTTATTTTTTACCAGAACAAATCTGTCCGTACATGTGGTGTGTGTGAGAATTTGTTGCCTTACTGATTTGTGCAGTGAATCAACACTGAAGATTCCTCCATCCTGCTTGATAATCTCATCAGTCCTCTTTCACACCCACGTTTCCTCCCTTGGTTCTCCTTCTCTTTATTCCGCCGGTCTGCATCTCTCTCATCTCTTATCCACACTCACTCCTTCCAGAACAAAGCGAAGAACAGCTGCAGTGACGGTGAAGGAAGGAAAGTCACCTTGGGGGTGACAGAGGAACAAAAACATGAGACAGAGATGGAGGGAGAGAAAGAGAGGGGGGGGGAATTAGAGGCAGTGTGGAGGGGAGATTAGGGGGAAAAGAGGGAAGGGAAGGGAGGCATAGAAGCTGGCATTGATCATCATATGACTAATAAAAGGACAGCACTGCATCACTGCAGAACCCTGTTAGAAAAAAGAAAAACAAATGCTAATGGTAAGTGCAGAATGATAAGATTAGAGAGCTACACTGTTTTCTACCACTGATGGCTCAGGAGTCTTATATATTGCTCCTGCCTATCATACTGTGAAAATATCTTCACATTTGGGTGTCATCCAAAAAACCCACAAGTCAATAGCGAACAAGTATTTAAAGTCTCTACCCTCTTTTATGATTTATGGCAAATAATTCAACCAGTAGTTTTGGCCATTGTCTGAGCTCAGTAATGGATGGACTGTAGAACAATAGACTGGCAGCACTTTATCAGGCCTTTATGTAACTGTTGGTCCCAGTTCTTGCAGTTCTCATTTCTTGCAGTTGATGCCATATTTAATGAGCACTAAGTGACATGCTGATTTTTCACAGACCCAAATAAGAGAAAAGTAATTCAATATAGAGTACATGTACACTGTAAGTTTGCCAAATACATAGAATATTCTAAAATACACTGCACTTAATGTAATTAAACCTACGAGGATGCAGATGCATGCTTTCCATATCTGTTATTTAAATAAATGTATATTAAAGACAATAAGTAATGGTATATTTACTTTTTGTATCGATTTAGATTTTGCAAAATGTTTGTTCCTACAAACATACAGTGGCCCCGAGAGCTCAACACAATGCCAATTAAGAAAACACATGCAAACATTAAAACCCAAATGACTTCATAAAACATCTTTATCAATTTGACAACATGTTCTGCAAATACTGACAACAAAACCAAATACACGAACATGCTTCAAGTACTCCCAACACAACGGAAGTGTTTCCGGGGGACTCTAAAAGTGATGAACCTGGCTGGTATGCACTTGTTCAATACCTAATTGAGACTGTTGAAGATAAAAGCATTGGACATGCGTTGAGCTCTCAGGGCCACCATAAAGTGCATCCCAGCCAGATTCATCGCTTTTTTCGTATTAAGTTTTTCTCCATGTTTTTTCTGCCTTAATTCCGATAGCGAGAGAGAGAGAGAGATGATATGCAGCAAAGGGCTACGTGTTGGACTCGAACCCGCACCGCCACGATTAGGACTACGCCTTCATGGTAAGCTCTACCATCTTTTCAAGGGACAGAGGTTCACAGTGAATAGTATGGCGACCAGCGTTTTATGGTCACTAGTGGCGCCATCTTGTGTTCAAACGTATGAATAACTGCAGCTGAACATGGATAAAATGTAAGACTTGTAGTTCTTTGCCCTTACTTCCTTACTGTGGTGTTGCCAGAGTTGGATTGGTAGCTAGGTACGACTAGCTTTGACCGATATCTACCACCATATCGCATAAACAACGACATATCAAAGCATTTACATAAAAAACTTTCTACCTATATAGTATGTATCGCGCCGAAATAGCTCAGTTGGGAGAGCGTTAGACTGAAGATCTAAAGGTCCCTGGTTCGATCCCGGGTTTCGGCAGCAGATGTGGTCATCCTTTTCCCAGGCTTTTTGTGACGCCTTTTCAACATGCAATATCGCCAATTAGCACAACTAAGG